TGGTCAATCTTTTCTTCTCATCGTTTGCTCGTGGGAATGCACCATTCTGAACATAGACATGTTAGAAAGTACGTATATTTTGTGGGTTGGTTATGAAGTTTAATATTAGAAAATAGGTCAGTTTTGAAATATTTGAAGTGGACCTTCCGAAATATGTTAAGTTATAGGAATCAATCAGTATGGATATCGGCAAGATTGGGCTGGAAAGTAAGGTCTAAAGACGAAGAGTTGTATAATGCAAATTGAACAACAAGAAAACGGATGTCATTGTGTCTTATAAGCTGGTCCAATTACACGATCAGTGAAAAATAATTTAATCCAAACCACATTTATAAATGTTTTATGAACGGAGGAAGTAAGAAAGCAAGTACTTAAATGAAATCTTTAAAAATGTTATTATTTCATTGCTACTATTAATTGATCACTCTAAGTATGTATTGCCGGGAAACCTTTATTAATTTACAAGAACTTCTTAACAGATTGGATTCATACCGTGCTTTCCGAAGAATGTTATGGATTTCGAAATTTTTACTGCAGTTGTAGGAAGTCAGAGTAAACGCGCTATGAAAAATGGAACAAAACTTACTAAAACACTAAATTTGTGAAAGATTGTATTAAGTTTTCATGAAGATACATCCCCAAGCATTGACATTTTACTTATTAAATTGGCTTCATCTTCACTAGCTGTTTTCTTGCATTTACCTACGACTAATTTGCACGTTCAATCCGCTTCATTAGAACATACCGGCACTTTTTATTAGCAATCGTTTCTTTATTATATCGGTAAGGCCATACTAAAATGCACTCTCATACCACTGATGCAGAAATCGAAAGGCAGCAATTTGTACGCCACATGATTGACAATTGTGCATTAATCTTGCACGGTTTTTCACATACGCATTGTTACGATCTTATAGTGTTTGTTGGAGCGTTTTTGCGTTCGCGGCTTGATTTGATCGTACAAATGTGATATTTTAATGAGTTACCATTCTTGCATTTGAAAGCGCAACTGTATCCGAAATTATTTTCGATATACAGCAGCTTATTCCTGCAGTTTTTGCAGTCGTATTTGTCATTGAAGCAAATCGAAAACCGATATTTTAATATTAACAATTGGCTAGTTTATATCTTAGCTTCCGTTTAAGTTACTAATTACTTACTCGTAATGAAACAAAATTGCTGTCTCCCGCTATATACATTATATTTAAAGTTTTTGTTGGTCATATTTCACTGATAAATCGAGGATTGTTTTCGGATTCAATATTTTTCTTTTCATATACGTAAATAATTTGCTTTAGTAAATGTATCAATAATTGTATATTTAACACTGAGTTTAATTTATTTCATAATTAGTCTGTTCTCAAGTTGTTGTTGTTGTTCCCTTAAAAACATATGTGCCAAATGCTTAACATACGTTTTTATGGCAGGCAATAAAATTGCTCGTTTTCCCGAACCTTTAGAAGAAATTTTTGCGTTAAAGTGATTGAGTGAAAACTAGTCTTCCAGTTGATCCATTATATTCTACTAAGACAATAAATATAAATACAATTCCACAATTTAATACATTTTCACCACCAATCAATCATACCAAAATTGTAGATACTTTCAAGAGCAAATTCACCAGCCGTAGGTTATTTGCTCAATCAATGATTATTGAATCTTACTAATTAAAATTTCATGCGTGTGCAGTCCACTAAATCCACCAGTCACGCATTTTGTTAACTAACCCCGTTAGCAGGCTAGCAGAAAATAAAACAAAAATTACAGATCGATAATTGCTGATAAGCTCAAAGCGTGAATAAGCAAAAACGCATGACTATCTAACAGATAATGGAACAAAAACTCTGAGAATTTAAGAATTAGGTGTACTGCGGTAATTAATTCATTACCACGTATCTGCACTCAGAACCTTGTAACAATTAATTGACATCGATCTTTTTACAGTTTTTATTGTGGTACCATAATTTTATGCTTGCGCGCGGCCTTCATCTAAACCGTCAAGTTTTATCGGGTTGTATTAATCTTATTATTTAATTTGATTGCTTTTTCATTGATTTTCTCTTTTCTTCATTGGCCAAATTGTCGAAACAAAACAAAACTTGTACTTCAAACACAAACTGTATTTTTGACTGCAAACCAGGCGCTCAACATTTCTATAAATATTTATATATAAATAATACGCTATTGAATTAAATTGTTTTTGCGGTTTTAGGAACACACAGAAAAAACCTCTATTAATCCCTGGATAAGAAATTATCAAAAAGATTGGATAGAAAAACAGGCGCCCATGTGGATTTTATAGTGACGTTTATATTTGCGAAAAAGGTGACATTTTGTCTGTTTACTTAAACCTCATATTTTTGCTCCTTCTTCCAGACAAACATTTAAAATGGAAAATATGTGAGTGCACGATTTTCAACCAAAAATTAATAATACATAAATATAAATTACACTATTTATTTAACATTCAGTAACTTTTCTGTTCTCATAATAGGTACTTTACATTTTGAAACACGCTTTCAATGAAATAATCTTAAGACACTACTATTCGACAGAACATAGTCAATCACTGGGTTTGAAATATTTGAAATAATAAGATTTATGAAATATATAAAATAATAACTAAAGGAAATAAATTTAATAAAATTATATCTAATTAGTTTAAATTTTTTGCAGCAAAATATACTTTTTTCTTATAACTATTACTCATAAGTTTTTACTTCTCCGACCCTGTGGAAGAAACTGAGTAACTGAGCAACTAATCGATGCGCACACTGTTATGAATAGGACTTTTCAACTTAATCATGACAAAACCATTGTCATAAAAAAGGGTTGAAAGTGCATCTATGATACTTCTTCGCATCTTACTTTCATAGTGAAGCCTATCATAAGAACATATAAATTGCAAAATATACTATAAATTTGCTCTCGTGTTAAAGTATTTCCTGGCTTACTCGTTTTATTCATCCAACTATTTAATATTTCAAGTTTACTGATATAGTATTAACATCATCAACACTTTATGACACAAGACACAACTTCTATTTAAAAAAATATTAAGATTTTTTGCTAACTTTGGTTAAAACGAAATAGCTTCGTTTAACTGTAAGTTTAAGCATATTAAAAGCGGATTAGAGCTTAACAAGGACTGGGAAAAAATGTTATCTAATGTTAAAATGTTGACGACGACATCGTGTTTTTAATTATAAATAATATGAAGTGTGTTTGTCAGTGTTGTATTATATTTTTCAAATTATATTATGCAGGTTAGTCAAACCTAATGCTTAAGTCTTTGCAACTACATCTAGAAAGCTTTCTGATTGTGCAGACAAATTTTAACTGTGCTTGTTAGCGACATACTGAACTAAAATTACACTTTTCTGACCAAATGTTTGAACTTTTGAAACACGCTGTGTAACCTATTGCATGTCGTGATTCCTTTCTCCACCAAGCTGCACCTGTAATACATTTAATTTGCAATAAAATTTATTTTTTTACGTTTAGTTTGCCACGAGCTTCTGAAACATTTGTTGCTAAAACTCATATTTTAGAGAACAGCAGTCAAAAAAATTGTGTAGGTATATTATCAAAAAAATTTGGAAAAAATATGACAAAATGTCGTTTTTTTAAGATATTTTATGAAATTGGCTTAAGTCTAACCAATGTAGACCACAGAACACGTGAAAGAAAATTGATTTTAATATGAAATATAAAAAGCATAAGGATTTTAAAATAACAATTTTTAAAGAAAAGAAGAGGGAACTTCTTAAAGACTCTATAGATATAGGTGCTTAGACTTACTTAGAACAAACGTTTTTATCCGGAATAAAACGCATCGATTATACATACAAGACGAATTTAAATGTTTTAATTGCAACTTGGCTAATGCAGAAGTGACAAAAACAAGAAGGTTCATGCATACCATCATTTAAAGCCAATTTTCTGTTGATATGTTTTCGTCAACATCCGCCAAAATCATATACCTACATCTATTTCCTTCTCAGTGAAAATATTACTTTACCATGTCGACGAACGCTTTTGTAGAGGCGGAAAATTGGTCCTCCCGAAAAGCCCTTTCCCAGAATTACCCTCTCAAATGCAATAGATTATCCGAAGAACATGGCTACTTCCGTAAGTTCGATGGCATATACGGCAAATTGTGGCCGATGTACAAATGTGCCCTACTCTTCGGCTTTAGCAGTTGCGTTTGACGTTCTCGTTATTAAATGCCCACATGTGGTCAGATAGCAGTCGTATATTATTATTCGGTAAGGTGGATATTGAATGCAAAACCCAAAGATATCCGGGGAGACGGAGAACTTGAATTAAGTGGTTGGATCGATAAAGCCATATTTTGCCAATTTTAGTAAATTAGCCCTTCTTGAGTAGATGACTTAGAATAGTAAACAATTAGAAAAATATTTAGAAGAAAAACTTATTTGTGTAGCCCTAATCTGTATTTAAGAGTTGAGCGCTCTTTAGAGCAGAATTCAACATATTGTCGCTCGTCCTTTAAGATAAATCACCAGAAGTTTCATATGCTATCTCCTATCTTACAGTATGATTTTGCCAATGTCATATTCACACATAGCTCAAAGCTGGAGAAACAGTGTCTTTTTTCAAGTATATAATATACTAAAATGTCAACATTTTGTTATTATAAATATATATAGTTAAATAGTTAATTGTGGAGAAAGAGAAATTGGCCATGAAGGTGTAGAAGGCTCACAGACTAAAAACATTCTCCAATTAAGCTCTACATTATTCATTTTATACAAGCACACCTTAATTCGCAATATTTACATAAGTGCTAAATTTTAACTTGTACGCGAAATCATTGGATATTTGACAACTCCTAATGTTGTAGTGAAATCTACATGTCCACATAACATTAATTTTCAAAATAAACTATTCATCTACTAAAAAATCGAATCGAGTTATTTTGAGGAAATTGATTCTATTAAAAAAACGTTTATATGAGCTAATGTACATTTTTATAGTTTTCCAGATATGCATGGACTGCGAGATCCTAAATTTACACATGGACCAATAATGTAATTAATAAGGTAAGCGCATATTAGAAACACAGATGGAATTTGAATAAAATCATTAATCCTACTCAACCTAAAGTACATAACTAATGACTAAACATGATATTAATAAATTGAAATGATATTCCTAATAGCATGTTTCGTTTTACGGAGAATCAAAAAAAGAGAAAAAATATTTCAATTTATTGATTTATCATGCCCACAAAAGCTGCCAATTAAAAAGCAAAATTGAATTAAAGGGGCAAAGGACATTTATTACAATTTTAAATCTTTCTCATTTGCTCGGCTTTATTAACCTTTTAGAGAGTTTACAAATAGTCAATATGCACAAAATAGCACAAAAAGGTTTGATAATTATAAATTCATTTTTGTTACAATGTTCGTTCCTCTAAATCAAAGTCACATTGTTTAATTTTCAGTAATAACTTCAAATGCAGTTCAACGTCAGAATTATCTACAATCGGAAAGTTATTCCACTTTCAGTCACTTCTAAAAAAAATTAAATTTCCCATCAAAAATGCCCCATGAGCCAAAAAATGTGACCCAGAAAGATTTATAATGAATAATCTATCTACTCGCAAATACGATTCCATACGTCAGAACATCTTGTTAATTAGCTTGTAAAAATCGGAAGAACAAACGAGTTCCGTTAAGGCCTTAATTACAGGTTAAAAGGAAGCAGATCTGCATGATGCCGTAAATCTTCCTCTGCTCGTATGCATAGACAAGGAATTTTTCGGAAAAATTTCTATAGATCATCCCACACGGTCAATGCGATTGTTATTCTTAATAACGTAGTTAAAAGGTTCTTGTAGACCTGATGCAGATTTGTAAGTTGGAAACAAGAAAAATTGGGCGTGGGTTGCACGGATTTACTCCCCTAGGCTACTAATGCGTGAATTATCTATTGAACTTTATAGTTTAGGCGGCACAAACTGTACAAGTGAGTTTTAAATGTGTTTCATCGTTTAATTTTGCTTGGTAAATTCAATAATGCAAAGGCGGATTGATTTGTGTATTTATATATAGGCATATTTTTCTTGCAAACAGCTTCCTTGGCAACAATTCTGACGACCTTGTATAGCAAAGGAAAATATGTCCGTTTTTAATAGTTTCAATAGTTACAAAATTCGATATTTTTATTATTAGCTCCTGGTATCAATGGTTGAGATCTTGCTTCCCACACATCATAACGTATGTATAATCGTGCGACTCTTTACACGATTTGAGACACTCATGGGCCGCCCAAAAACAATGGATTCAACCTTATTAGGCTAATGACCGCCTTCTGATCTTCCTATTGTCTTTAACGATACCTCTTGCGCCTTTTTGTTTCACCTTGTAATACGGTACTTAAGTGGTTTAATAGATCAACGGGACTCAGTGTGATAAAGAGCCGATTTTTTTTTTTTTTAGTTCGCGATGGTAAGTCGCTATTATGAGGTGCCTATTTAATCGCATCTGATTGAAAAAGGGATTGAGCAACGCAGTTAATAGAATAAAGGAGGACTAGAAAAAATATAAGAAAGCCATATATTAATTCATTTGGGTTTGTTAGGTGATTGACGGACGGTTTATCTGAGTCTACCTATATGGCTTACTTAGGCCAGTCTCGATAAATCGAAGATGTTTTTTGGCTAGCTCTTAATTTGAGTTAGTTTATCAGAATCGTGAAAAATTTTAAAGTGTAAGGAAAAAGCCACAACATAAATTGAAGTTATATAAACTATGTAAGAAGGTTTATTTTAACTATCTTGCTGATACCTACAGAACCAGAGAGTAAATTTAATTATTTGTATAGCAAAACTAGCTCTTTGTCGACTTTCCAGTCCAGTTCGATAGTTTGTTTCTCTTCACCAAATCACATTTCAACACAAAATTTTTTAGACATTCTGAAACAAGACAGAAACTGGATACACTGGTCAAGTTTCAAGTTTCTCTTCCGGTTTGTAGACCGTCACACAAAGCACTTTTTCCTTGTATTGACGTTGATTATTTCATGTGGTCTGAACTTTATATTCTTAGGAATTTTAGGATATTTGGGAATTTATAATCGAAAAATCTTTGGACATGTAAACTTTCTATTCAACTGGGACATCTTGTTAACGAATAGTGGTTCCTTTCAAATCAATGTCGAGCTGACTTACTTCCACCTCTAAAACGTTCTTTTAATTGACAAGATACTAGAATTGCTCATCACTCGTGTCCATACAGTTATACAAGTTTTGTATCCAAATATTTGGGAGCATTTGGTAGTTATGAGACGACATGAATTAAAAATGTACTGTCGCAGTTCTTCCCGAATCCCGCTTTTATTGTCTAAATCTTCCTTTTGAAATGGCCCCAAAAGAAAAAGTTTAACAGGATCAAGTCTGGAGACCTAGCCGGCCGCACGGTTGGACTTCTGTATAGACAAGTTTGCCTGAAAGCATCAACGCGTTTTTAGCTTAACTTGTAGCAAAACCGACTATACCGACATGACTTAGCTCATGATGTTTTTAGTAGATCTAGAAGACAATTGATATTTATTATATTTCAAGTATATTGCATAAATGTGGTGCTGTTTCCGTACCAAATAATATATGGTTAATTAATAATTTTAACTATATATTTTATTCGAAATTCGCAGGTCTAATGGTCAGTTTTGGAAAGCTTGACATTGATAAATCTTAACTTCATATAATTGATGGGTGCTTGTAATGTTCTGTGCTGAAGATTTAAATATGATCTCACCTATCAATCTAAGCTGAGAAAATATTTTATCATTCAGTGAATATTGGTATATAATTTTCTATTATGTACCTTCTTATGAGAAATTTATGAATGGTTTGTACAGAACATTTTGGGTACAAGTTTTCACCAAAGTCAACGATATTAGGTTGTAAGCAGTTTTAATATTTTACTGTAAATTTATAAATTACTCTAGAACACAGTAACATTGATTTATCAGAAAAGTGTCAGAATAATTGAGAATTTTTAATATTTTAAAGTAGAATTTTCTTGAGCATGAAATTGAACAACTTTTGATTTGACCGATACCTACAATCTTATCGTGGCCGAGAAGCCAACAATGAAGCTTAAATTTAATTCAAATTGTACATTTTTAGATCAAATATGCATCTGCTAGATTTTAATTACTTAATTGCTTCACTTGTTAGTGACTCTAGATCTTAAATTTTAGTTAGTCTGATGAACTAAGGAATTCACCACTTAATATGCTATTATTATATAATTATACTTATTATGCTTGCAAAGTAGCGAATTAGTAATACTATATTTTCTTGGTTCATATTGAAGTGAAAATGTTGATCATTTATGTACCATTTCTTTAAATTCAAGTTTTTAAAATCTACAAGTTTTGTTAAGACGAGCACATTCTTAGTGTTTATCTGTCGATCAATCTTATTCAGACTCAAGTTGTACGGACTTTTAGTTTAGTATTAGACTTAAGATTGGTGTTCTTTCCACTCTGCCTCTATGGCAAAAATTATGATTCCCAATAATTTTAGTTGGTCAGGAATTGCCCGCTAAGTCACCAATGAATCCCATTCTGGTGTCAAATTACAATTTAAAATGATCAGTACACATTTTTCCTTTTTGAGTCGTAATTCGATTTGTTATAATTTATGTTCTGTTATATTAGCAAAAGAAGAAAATTAATGAAAAATGAAATACAACAAAAATTTAGAAAACTGTTTAAAAGTACTACAGTGCCCGAATGTCATAAAGTGAGGATTACAAAATATTAAAAACACATATGTAGGCAGTGTAAGATGTGAACTAATAATTGGTTAATTATCAATTATCCGTAGTACTTATATATCATTAATTAATTAATGCAAATTCAAGTTGAACCAATTTTCTTCTACCCAATTAATGGGATTTAAGTTATTTATTAATTAAAAGTGTATCAACCGTATACCTACGCTCTCCACGTACAACTGTTAATCAAACTCTGAACGGAAAATTGGCATTAACTATGCAAAATTACTTGGTCGCTTTTTTCCGAATCACAACAATCCTTAAGCAGGTCCGTTACACTGTTTAACCTGGACAATTGTTTTGCCAGTAACATGCAATTAATTGTGGATTTGCATGCGAACAAGTGAGAAAACGTTTAACGAACTAGGCGTGGGAAATTGGGCTAAATTCTGCAATGCCTCGCTTTAAATTGTTTCCAATCGATTGAAACTGAAGTGATTTCTTACATTTATTTCAAACATCATAGGGAAGAAATTTTTAATTGAAAAAGTGTTGAGTTCTTGTTTGTGCATTCTTGAAAAATATGTTTTAGTCGGTACTTGAATATTCACAGAAGAGCTGCGAGTTTTCGTTTATTTATTAAGGTAGTTTTTAAAGTGCTACGCAACATTAGCAAATCTCTTAATTAGTAGTCGGCAACGATATTAATTTACTTCATTTTCAATTAATGATTGACGATTCAATCTTTCAAAAACATTGACGATATTAGAAGATAATTGATATTTGAAGCATACAACTCTTCAAAATTAGCTGCAAGTGTGGGATTGTTTATGTTCATCATGTAATGCAGTATTCCGAAAACATATTTTCTTCAAAAAATATTTGAGTAATTGGAAAGTATATTAACATGTTTATTATACTGTTAAATTCGTAAATCCATATGTATTTACTGTTTTATATGATCCGCTCAAATTATGTTTCACAACAAATGGATGTATGAAACTGCATAAAATTTCATTTCTTATACGTTTAATATATTACTTTTAATAAATATCGAGTCATTATCATTAAAAAATGTATTTCTCTAAATTTGCAAATACATGTTTCTGAAGAGTAATTTTTTGGCGTCAGTTTTGATAAAGAAAATCTTAAATTCTTGTATCTTAGAGGACTTGGACTCATGCTATTAAGTCATACTAGTAGGACAAAATAGTTTTTCTTCAAACCTGAATAAATCGGGTATAGCCCGATTGAGCAGCTGACCGCAAAGATACGTTTTTCTAAGGCAATAGTTTACTCCGCACTTTCCTG